ATTTCTTTGACCAGCCGATATAAATCTGTAACTTAAGAAACACAAAATGGAAATTTTTCTGGGGAGGGAAACTATCCTTCTTCATCTTTGTGGTCCCAGTCCACTGTGTGGCCCTTATCTGCACAGAATTAAAAGGACAGAATCAAACAAGTAGACACTGCACTTGATTTATCTTCTCATGAGCTGTACCAGAACATTAAGACCTTTGTTTTTCTGTGTCTGAAATACTGGAGGAAAAACTGTGGACTTCTGTTGTTTTCTGATGAGCAGGAAGATAAAGGATGAATTTACTTGATTTCCCTTGTGACTAAAGGTAAATTTGCATGTGGATCACATATATGAATTCCTTCCATGTTGTATGATAATCACACCTCATTAGGTGAGTGATATTTCTTAGATCTTACTACTCAGGGCTGCTGGTTGCCATTCTTAGGAGTCTCATATTTGTATCCACTCTATCCAGTTGTGTATTATTTTCAGGTCAGAAGTTTAGATTTCTTTATTCACAGTTCCCACGTACCAGGACTCGAAGAAGGTCATTTAAAACCATTAACAAAATTATTTACCTCCCTGTGATTCTTTCCCGGAAGTATTTTTTGACCCTTTGGTTGCCTTAATAAGGTATCTTGGAACCTTTTCTCATTTCTCCCCGTCTTTCTTAAAAGGTGCTGCCAGTTGGCATAGCATTGCAGTAGACTCTTGAAATTTATTTGAAGGTTTTATTAGTGGTCTTTAGTGCTCTTTCTTTGAAACGTAAGCTCAAGTCAGTTTAGTACTACAGTTTTTCACTGACAATCAAAAGAATGTGGTTTCACCCCATTTAAATACCCATTGTTCTTCTCCATCAGTAAAGGAAGAATGAAAATGAAAGCAACAAAACAAAAAGCAATTTAAAATTATTGCTTGCTTCCTAAATGACAGACTTTTGAAAATAATTTCTCTGTAGTTAGGGAACTGTCCTCAGCTATGGGATGATTGAATCACAGAACCATCTTGGTAGTTAAGTTTAAAAAGAAATCAGGCCAGTTCACCATTAAATTGGCTCTAAGTATCCCTCTTTGTTAAATGTCCAAAATAGTTAATAGATATTTTGATTCTGTGTCTTCAGATAAGTCAGAATATCTGATTGATTAAGAAGTGAAAAGCTCATGAGGTTTTCTGTGAATAAGTGATTTTAGTCATTTGGATTCAGGTAGTTTAGTTCCAAAAATTTTAAGGTATTTATCAGTAACTGGTAACAGATTCCACAGGAACTGAAAATTAGATTTGTTGGTGGGATACAGAATTTGGGGTATCCTCAAGTGTTGTACTAACAGAACCTAACATCAAGCCATAAAACCTGACAGTGCATTTTTTTTTTCGATAGGAAAGTCCATTTCATTTTCTCTTAATGGAAAGCTTAGAGATGTGTCCATTTTCTGGGCTCCAGCGCTTATGAGTAACTGGCAGTCTCTGTGCATGAAATCCCAATCTCTCATGGCTAACAACTAAATATTATTTTGAAATATTTGTGTTTCTCTTGTCCTTTAAAAAAATTGCCAAAAACCATCTTCATATTCCAGATGCATTCCCATTTGAGGTTGAATGCTAATGAGTGAATGAGACAGCATGTGTCAATTCATAGCAGTGTGCGGGGTATAATACACACTCCTTAAATATTATTGTCGTAAATATCGGTCCATAAGCCAATAATGAATTGTTCCCAGTATGATCAATGATAAAGGGACTGCATCTAGACTGCATTAATGGGATTTGAAATGCATATCATCAGGATGAAATTGCCTTGTTTTCTGTGCTTTTCAGAGCATCTTCAAAGTAGTTCTCAATGGCTTAAAAAAGTTTTAACACATCTGTCAACTTGTTGCTTTGTTGTTATCACAGTTGAGTTCCCTTTCTTGCTCATTGCTTTAAAATGTATACAATTTACAAACATTTATAATTGTAATATATATATTTTAATGCATTTCATTGTTCTAAATGGTTATTTTCTTGTGCCATTCGACACCCCTCCAGTCATAGGTTCAGCTGGATTAGCATTTGACATATGTCAAAGTAGGCACATGTAAAAAAAATGAAGCACTTAATTGGAATTTCACAGCAATTTTCACATAAACCAGCTTAAACAAGGTATATTTATGTATGGAAATCAGGAATTGACTGTGTAAATATATGTATGTCAAAGAGATGATTTAAAATGGTGAAGGGATTCTACACAATAGAACCTGAACCCTGGTCATGTCACATGTATTTCCTTAGCCATGAGAGTTTACTACTGTAGATAGCATGTCATTTTGATTATAGCTTTACTCTATTAAGATAAGGTAATACATAATAGTATAACAAAATACTCAATGAAAACTTTTTATTTGTTAAATTTAATAGTAAGGTTGTATATCTCAGAACTTCACTTATCACAAATGCTTTTAATTGCTTGTTTCAAATGAACCATTCATTTTTTTAATCTTTTATTTTTCTATTTTTCAGGTCATAGGGTTAGACTGAGAAACAGTTTGGCTAGAATGCTAAAATTTGTAATTTGTACATATTCTGCATGGTTATTTTAATAGTATCACTAGAGTACTTATTTCCTACACTTGAAGTAAAACTATTTCTTTTATGTAGGTTTTTCCAGCTATAATGAAAAATGTATTATTGTATATATGTAAATGCAGCATTGTATTTTGTGCCAAACAGCATAATAGCCATGACTTAATTATATGGAATGTTTATTTTGAGGAGAAATAATTTAACAGAAAATGCTTGAGAAAAAACATGTGACAATTTTTATACATAGATACCGATTTTTATTTTTCAAACTATTTCATATATTCCTAGAATAATGGAAAATGTAACTCTGCCTAAATGCCATTTTTTATAAGATATTAAAATGAAATTGTTTATCATTTTTTTAATGGTTTTATAGTCAGTGTTAGAACAGCTTTTGATAACAGTAAAAATTTTAAAAGGTTTTGTAGGGCACCTGGCTGGCTCAGTCAGTGGAATGTGCAATTCTTGATCTCAGGGTCGGATTGTCAGTTCAAGCCCCAAGTTAGGAGTGGAGCCTACTTAAAAATATTTTTTTTAAGTTTTATAGAATTTTTTGAACACCAAAATGGATTTCCGTTTCATATGTTGCTTAGTTGCTGTATTTTCAAAGTAAAAATTTTTTAAAGGATTTTATTTTTAAGTAATCTCTATACCCAATGTGGGGCTGGAACTCACGCTCCACTGACTGAGTCAGCCAAGAGCCCCTTGAAATGTCATTAAGACAAACATTTTATCATTTGAAAACTTGGATATTAAAAAACTAAGAATACTAATATTGGCAACTTTCTGTTATGTTATAGAAAAAAAACCTACATTTGTGATTAATTTGCAATTTGAAGGCATTAAGAACCTGAATTCTTATTGGTCAATAACACTTATTTTGATATATCCTTTAAAAATATTGGCAAAAGTAAACACATGCTTATCAATTGGTTAAAATACAAGTCTGAAATTACTGTGTTCCTGAAAAAGGTATATATTCGTATCAAAATAATATTCACTAAATATGATTAAAATAAGAAAAAGTTGCCATTGAACATGTAGGGAGAGTAATAAAAATATTTATTTTTGAGTCACGTTCAAGATTTCAAGGTCATCTGTTATGAATGATACTATATTTCAAGGTGTATCTGGGGGGCAGGGAAGGGGTTCATTCCTGATCCTCGTTCTCTTCCTAAGAAAGTCAAGAGATGCTTCCTATTTCTTAGTTTTAATAGTTACTACTTATAATTATGACCACACAGAAAATGAACTGTTAGGCTTAGTTTTATTCATTCATTTATTGAAAATTCGCTGGCTATTTAGAATGTGCTGGGTACTCTTTTGGGTATGCCATAGCAAGAGCAAGTTGTCCACCTTCAGGAACTTTCTCCCATATTTATACTATACCTCGTTATGTTTAACGACATGGAGTATTTAAGGTGTTTAACCAAAGCCTGACATATAGTAAGTGCTCAGTAAAGAAGAACTACTACTAATGTTCTGTGACATCCTTTTTAGCTAGTTTTCATCTACTGAGAAACAGAATTTAAAATTTCTTTCTTTATAAGAGTAATGATACCTATTCCATGCGTATGTATTGAAAATGTTACGAATAGCATAGTTTAATAAAATGAGCAGAACAGATTATGTGGTAAGTCCCTGTACTATAAACACAAATACTTTCAGGTTAACTAGTTTCTCTTGAGATAAAATGCTGTTATTCTCAAATGCTTTTGAACATGTAAAAGTGAGCATAAAAAAATACATTTTGCTATGGAATTGCTCAATAGATTAGCTCTTACCACTTTGGAATCCAACTAACTAGTTCAGAGAACTTTCTGAAAATAAACAGTAGAGTGATATAATCTCTTCTAGAAAATTAAACTTAAGCATATAACATTCAAATTGGTTTTTATATTTAATTTTTTCCTTTCTGCTTTCAACTGTTCATCAGTAATTACTATATCTTGAGCTGTGCCATTCAATAATATGATAGCTCCTAGCCACATGAATGTATTTATTTTAAAATAATTTAAATTGAGAATTTTGTTACCCAGTTACATTAGCCACATATCTCAGGAGCCATGTGGGAAATGGATCCTATATTGGACAGTGAGGATAAAGGACATTCATCACCGCAGATAGTTCTCCTGTGTATGGCTCTAGGATATTTTGAAGAAAGGAGTATTTGATATATACTACTTGTAATTATGACCACTAAAATTAACTATTAGGTTTGGTTTTGATCAGCTAGTCTTTCACAGCATCTTCCACATCTTGATTAAATATTTGGTCATCTCTTTGACAGATAAAGACTACTTTAGAATAATGTTAATTTTGGTCCGAGTTATAACCAACCAAATAAAGTCTCAGAAAATGAAGTGCTTTACTCAGTGACTTCTGGGAAAGTGTAATTTTGAATATTGCCTAAAAGAAATGGCTCATCAATGAGATCAATGCTTTCTCCGCAGCGTCTTCCAAACCTTTTTTCCTGAGCGCCTCCCCATTCTACTCTGCATGCTGTGGTGGGTCCTGTCGGCGCCCTGAGTCCGTCACTGCTTTTGCAAGTAAGTTTTTATGCTTCCTCAGCAATGCCTCAGTTATTCTGTAAACCAAAGCAGCAGGATTTAATGTGCTCTGGAAAACTAATTGGTAATGCAATGGCAAGGAGCTAAATCCTCACTAAAAATCACAGCGATCCTATTCAGGAGGTTTCCAGAGATTTATCAGACCTCAGCACACTGAGCAATTGTGAGCAGTTTCTAATGGCATTGAAACCCAGGGCTGACACACCAAGGAAAGTGACTTGTTTTCCACTTGATATAAAAGATCTCAGAGGGACTAGTTTGGCTCTTTCTGAAACGTGTAGCAATACTCATTTAGAGAAGAAAAAAGAAAGGAAGGAAGGCTAAGAAATTGTGCTGTATAAAATTTCTGTTCAACTCAAAATGTGACACAGAAAGCCATAGATTGTCCATAGAAAATAATAAAAATTGTGCAGATTGTGAAAGGAGAGAAATACTTCCTTTTTATGATCTTGAAGAAAACCCACCAGAGTTATAGGAAATATTTTCAAGAGAACTTTTCCTCGAATATTACAAAATTTAAAATGTCCAGGGGTGGAGTGAGAATGACAACTCTGAAAAACTTTTAGAGCATGCACACATGCACACACACACCCAAAGAAAGCAATGTCGAACTAAAAAGAAATAAAGTTCACCTTGATCTTGAGATTTCTAGGTCAAATAAGAATTTGTAGGCAGAAATTCCGAGTGTATGACAAACAGGTCCAGTGAGCTCTACTCTACTCTGGTAGAGTCCAGCACATTTATTTAACTGCCCACAAGAAAACATTTATTCAGGTTAGCCCCTCTGTCAGGTGGAAAGTGAAATAGGAGGAGTTGAGTCAGCCCAAAGTACAGAGCTCTCTCACGGTTGAATTCAGGTCCCTGCTGCCTCTCTGTGAATGTGTTTTATGAATGTTTCAGGAGAGCAGTTGCTCAACAGGGTGATTCCTGACAAGTGAGGCAGCAAATGCTGGCCGTTTAATGAGCTGCAGGCTTCTGAGCATCTCTTTAGGGGGCTGATACTTTCCCACAGAGCACTTTACATGGCAGGGACCCAACCACAATGGGCAACAGACCCGTGACCAATCGTCACTTTCACTTGACTCATCCACACGCGACCTCACCACGATTTTTCACTGTGCAGATGAACTTTAGGAGCCATTTCACATGGAAAAGGCTCGGGCAAGGGTCAGTTGCCCTTTTGTATGGTCATAAAGCACGGCTCTGTGTGTCCATCTTTTCTCCTGTCTCACATTCCAAGTGAATTTCTGGACACCATTTAAAGCACTTGACTGAAAAATAAAGCAGTGAATGAAACTGACTTTTATAGACTCATTCTAGCTCATCTTCCCATATAACCCTGTCCACCTGAAAAGGGATTTAGTGGATGAGCTGAGTGTATACAGGACTTGCTGAATACATAGGGCCCATTATCAACTCTGGGGATCGTTTATTAACCAGGACTGATACACCACTATTTTGGAAGTGACCTATTAATTGTCCACTTAACTCGAATGTATTGATTCAAATAGAAAAATAGAAACCATGACTAAACCTTTTACTCGCTCCTTCAAGGTGGTCTCCTGTGAGGGCAATTGAAAACGGTTGTGCAAATTAAGGAGACATTTGTCACCATATATTAGAGTAGCAGGGAAAGGCTGCAGGAGTAGAGATGTAAGTCCCAAATCTCTGCTACTATAGCATAGTGGTATCTCTGGAATTAAATATTTGGTGTTGCATTCCCCGGGTAGAGAGTCAAGGAGAGCCCACACCTAGTTTCCGGTACTTCCTCTTGATATCATACTGGATTTCTATTTTAGAGGATCTCTGGCAATGTAGTTTAGGTAAGTGGAGATGGACAAAAAAAAATCCCACGTAGGTGCACCTGGGTGGTTCAGTAGGTTAAGTGTCTGACTTCAGCTCAGGTCATGATCTCACCCTTGATGAGTTCAAGCCCCACATCAGGCTCACTGCTGTCAGTGCTGAGCCTGCTTCAGATCTTCTGTCTCCCCCTCTCTCTCTGTCCCTCCCTCTCTCTCTCTTGCAAAAAATAAACATGAAAAAAAAAATCCCATGTAACAGGTGGACATTCATGTATGTGTGTGTGTATGTTTATTCATTTTATAGCAATGTTTTGGTGAAAGTCTCTAAGCCCGAAAAGTACACTAATGCCCAGGCCAGTTTGATAAATAGAGCACATAAAACTAATTCTCAAGACATTTCCTAGAGAACTTCATCTTCTCAATTGCTTGGAAATCTACTTTAAGCAAGACTCATTTTCCTCCATCTGTCTCTTGGTTCTTCCCACTTTATGCCTTTGGCGTAACCGTTCTATATTGTGGCATCTATCCCTGGAGGCTTATTAAGTCCTATATTTATCTTTTTTATTTAATAAAATATATAAGGAGTAAATCAGCACCGCTAAGATCAAGCATAGAAAATGCTGTACTTGGTTTGTTTCTATTTCTAAGGTTGGCAGTTTAAAAACACTTTAAAGATGCCACAAGTGTTTTTAATAAACTTTGGTGTCTCATTAGTTATAAATCTGAAATGAATGTTTTTATTTCTTTGTTTATAATGTTCATCGTATTAGCAGCAAATAATAATGAAATGGTGGATTTAGATTGTCAGTAAAGAATTTTATGTAAATAACCATGGTACCAAAGAACGTTAATAAGGCTTACATCTGCACAGTAATCATCTTTATTTAAGGCATTTACTAGATTTTCTTTTTTCCTTCTTTTTTAAATAATAAGAACATTTTTTATGCCCAAGCATTTACATTTTTTTCCATTGCACAGATGGAGGAAAATAAACTGTCCAAGTAATCTTATATTAAATTTCAGCCAAAATGTGCTGACATGTGTGGACAGCCAAGATCAAGGTTTATACTAAGCATTTTAATAAACAATGAAATCAGTGGCTCTCACAAAATTGACTTCACTCTTTTTAAAGTGTAGGATCAGATCAACAGGTTCATAACTAGCAAGTAGAATATCGTTTTGACTCTTTTAACATGATTCACTTGTATGAAATTGATTTCGTTTTTCTTGTTAATCTTTTAGATTTATGATTGATTTGTTTTTGCAATGTGGAAACAATCATTCATCCAGTGCCCTTCTCACATATAATAAATAGTTTAATAGTCTATTTAAGCACAGCCCTTACAGTGGGGAAACATTAAAAGGCAGTGGTAAAAGATCTCCTCTCCCCCAAAGCAGTGAAAGGAAAATCTTTGATATTACGTCCATAATGTTCTTTTCAAAATCGCACATTTCTCAGCTAAAATGAAATGGAAAGTTGTGGGGAAAAATACCTGAAAATATATGGGAGTCTTAATTATGTAGAATGGCTAATTGAGCTAATCAGATAATTATTTCATTTTGATTTTGAGCACCCAACTCGCATGTGATCTTTCAACAATTCTATGCATTAAAAGACAAAGTTTAAATGTAGAGTCATATGATAAAAATACAAGCAGGGAGATATTCTGGGACAAACTGCTCTGCCTCTTCCTTGGGAAGTGAACTTCTAGTCTACATCTTAAGATCATTTTACTATTTCCTCTTCTTTGTTAAAACTTAAAAGAGCATAATATACTGTCCAAATTTGAATTTAGGATTTTGTTGACTGCAGCAAGCAAGGGTCATTCCTTTTATTATTCTGAACGTACGTTGGTCCTGAGCATCACTGTCGAAGATGGGCAATGCTCTGATTAGTATTCTTGCCACCTGACCTGGCTGTTTTCTCTTTCACTGTTCTCAGCTGGAGTCTGGGTGCCCTGAGAAAACCAACCAGACCTGTAGCAGTCCTTCTGTAAGAATTTATTGTTAGCATTCTCAGATCTTCAGAGGAATGCAGTATTTTGTGCTAATAGAGACAGAGGCATGATTATTTTGTTGAAAACCTAGGCAGGTTTGTGCAGTAAGTTGAGTATAGGTTTTGACTTCTCAGTAGTGAAGGGAGGGGTGTTCCAGAGATAAATGACAGTCAGTCAACCAGGAAGAATGTTTAAAAGAGTTGGAGACTTAAAGACAATAGATTTTCCAAGTTGATGGCTCTATTCAACCATTCTACAGAGGCAGTGAAAAGATTTGAGTAACTTTCCGGGAAAAGAGTTCCCTTTCTTCCCAAATGTTCCTAAGTAGCGGAGGCTGGGGGAGGGGAAGCAGAGCTACTCATAGATATAGGGTGCTTGTTCCTGATCCTGTCTACAGCCCTTGCCTGAACATAATGTGACATCTATTAGGGCAGCTAATAAAGTCCTGATTTGAGATTCCCCGAAGGAGAGCACCAAGTACAGAGTAGAGGAAGGAGAGAACTGACTGAACAGAACAAAGAAGGAAAGTGTACTGTTGGCTCAGTATGTGTCTACAGAATGATACAGGGCTTTTGGATTATGTGTTTAAAGTAGAATACCCAGAACAAGGGAAATAATAGTCCTGTGAGACTCTGTAATGGTCAGACAGCCTATTAGAACCTGTTCAGTTCTAGAGCCCCACTTTAAAAGGCACAGTGAGGGGAGCCTGGGTGGCTTAGTCGGTTAAGTGTCCGACTTTCGCTTAGGTCATGATCTCGTGGTTCCTGGGTTCGAGCCCCGCATCGGGCTCTGTGCTGACTGCCAGCTCAGAGCCTGGAGCCTATTTTGGAGTCTGTGTCTCCCTCTCTCTCTGACCCTCCCCTGCTCACGCTGTCTCTCTCTCCTAGAAATAAATAAAAATATTTTAAAAAAATAATAAAATAAAAGGCACAGTGAGCAAATAAAAACCAGGTTAGGAAGTAGTCAGCAACTAAAATGGTGAAGGATCTATATGCTTGGTCATGGATTTTCTAAGGTGATTGAGTATTTGTTTGGCCTGAAGAAGAGAATAAGGAGAACATGAGAGTTATTGTCAAATTAGAAAAACTGTATTCAGTATAGATGTAAAGGATAGAATTGGGGCCAACGAGTGGAGTTTAATGGAAATTGAATTTGGGCTTAATATAAGGGAACGATTTTT